ACCGAAGCACTAACCTAAAGAAGGGATGGAATGGAAGCCTAAGGCCTGCCTTGAGAAGGTTTTCACTCACGGCCACGCACCCCGGCCTTGGGTAGCAGGCCCTCTCATGGGGCTCGGGTACGATTAGTTCTATGCTATCAGGGATCCTAAAAACAACCCTGCACCTCTCCAGCACCTCCCTGGTAATGGTTGAAGGGTAGTTCGAAGCCCCCATTGAACTGAAGTGTCTACAGGGGTCTCCAAATGTTCTCCCTGGCCCTACTCACTCGTCCAAAGATACTAATATGGGCTCCTGTAAAGCAGAACTCCCCTCACCTCTCCTCTAATCGCTCCCAGAAGCGCTAACAGATTGTTCACTCACCATTTTTCCCAAGTTTGGATAGAATCTAAAGGAAGGAACAAAGAAACTGAAAAATGGGGAGTACCTAAACTCATTGAAAGATACTTGCTCGTCGGAACTTGCAGAGAAATCGCCGGAGTTCTGAACGCTCGCTGGAGAAGAAAGTTCATAATGAGTCCTTAAGAGTTCGAAAACAGTGTGGAGATTTTCGCGAAAGTAAAAGTCTCAACATGAAAGGAATAGGCCTTTTATAGGCATTTCAGATTCATCCCAACCGTTAGATCATCCAAATCATATCTAGACCATCCAACGATGGGGCACAAAGATCTTCGTTAAAGCCATGGGTCATTTGAATTAATGGCCCTGATTAAGCGGTGGGCTACAAGCGCGACTCGAACACGTCGCCTTGAGGGACAAGAGCTGTCGCCATCATTACCATTTATGGCAAGGGAGGCTTGTCTCGGAAGCAAGCGAACACCCCCATGATTACCTTGGGAAGATGCGAGAGCCTTCAAATCATTGACACAGAGTCCAAGACTATCCCTCCAGAGTCCACCACCTCGTCTCCACAGAGTTGCCAACCTACATCACTTCGGCCAGAGCGGAATCGGTGTTGCAACAGCTCCCCCTTGAGTTGCCAACTCCCCTCGCTTCGGTCGCAACTGCTTCGCGTTGCAACAGCTCTCCACAGAGTTGCCAACCCACATCACTTCGGCCAGAGCAGAATCTGATGTTACAACAGCTCCCCCTTGAGTTGCCAACTCCCCTCGCTTCGGTCGCAACTGCTTCGCTTTACAACAGCTCTCCACAGAGTTGCCAACCTACATCACTTCGGCCAGAGCATAATTTGATGTTGCAACAGCTCCCCCTTGAGTTGCCAACTCCCCTCGCTTCGGTCGCAACTGCTTTGCGTCGCAACAGCTCTCCACAGAGTTTCCAACCCACATCACCTCGGCCATAGCAGAATCTGATGTTACAACTTACCCCCCTCGAGTTGCCAGTCCTTATCACTTCGACTATCCGCCTCTGGCGCTCGTCCCTGTTCGCATCTACTCATTCACTGAAATTAAGTCCTTGCACTATATAAATATCTATACATGGACTTCCGGGACTATCGTTACGGGCCTGAGTTAGACCCGCATCTCACCCTCCGTGTGTCATCAGAGGTGGCCTCTACCATGTCACGCGTCGTCCAATGTGATTGTTCATGGGACGAGCTGGCTGTATATGCCAAAGTGATCTCACAGGGACGAACTGCATAGGCGTCAGCGAGCGAACTGGACTCATCCGCACGTGTACCGCGGATGCAAAGGCCCGCACTCCACTTCTACAAACGCTGCAATGCCTCCACTGCCTCGTTTAGCCTCATCAAAGATCCCTTGTACAAAGATCTTTCCTAAGTCAAGTCACTGACTGATGGGACGGACGGCAGGATCCAAACGGTCAAATCAGTCACTTTTGTCAGGGACATTCAATGTCAGCTAACTTATGGAGGGACAGATTGACACCTAGGATGGGACGAGCCTTGAAAATCTGGCAACATATGTCTCCTTATCCAACGGCTCTCCTCTTCCCATCCTTGGTATAAATACCCCCTCCTTATGCCAGAGAAAAGATTGGAATCCAATACTCTAAACTACTTCTACATTGTGAAATTAAGTATTCTCTTCCCTCGAATATTATTATTTTCTGATACACACTTTTGTCAACCACTTTCCGACGAGTGTTCCACTGCCGGTGAACCCTTCTCTGGTTGAACTTCAACTAACTTGACCGTCAGAGTTCTTACGGCCGCTCCCAACCCCTCCGGGAAATGCCACGAGTTACTAACGACGTGTCGCGTGTGCATGAGGAGCTGACTCGAAGACATTTTCTATTGGCCACGTGTCGGAGTCATTTTTCGAGGTCAACAGTATGTGCTCATCTTAATATTGAAAATATAGTTTCTTTTTAAGTATATATATCCAAGTCTTGAAAAGGTATTTAAAACAAATATTACTGTTGCTGTATACATCAAGTCAAAAAATTGCATATATCCATACGAAAAGCTAACGTTAAATGACATCTCCTATGTAGTAAGGTAGCTAGTTTATAATTATTAATTTTTTTTTTATACAAAAAAGAGATATTATTGCGTATCACGCTACTCATTAATTCTTCTATCTTTTAAATGTAAGATAAGTAAGAATTGCATGTATCCTTATTCATTACAAAATACGAATATTTACACGAATATGTAGACTTAAATTTAAAGCGGGGTTCTAAAATGCACGCATATGCTGTACATATATTCGCATATGTTCAATACATTTTCGAAAAGCCTCGCATATAGGGTATGTGCATGATAATGCGGTTAACTCATTTTTTTGATCGCATATGCACGCTTAAATGTTAAAATGCCCACGCATTTGTGTTAAAAAATGTTTCAAAATTAGCCTAACAAAGTCCAACCCATTTTTATAACTTAAAAAAAAAATAGCAAATTGAACCAAACAAACACCATATTAAACCAAATCGCCCAAGCCCTTAAATTATATACAACAATCTTGAGGGTTTAAGTGCCTAAAAAAATTAAAAATGAAAAAAAAAAAATTTCTTACGGTTGCAAATTATCCATTCGAACCCGAGCCTCCTTTTTCTTCGGTATTTCTCTAATTTTACCAGCAAGTGATGCTATAGTAATGAATAATTTTAAATTGTTGATGGATGTGATGATGCGGACAAGGTTACTAATGATACACTACCATCTACAAAAAGTAATAGAAATTCTCGAATTGCAAAAGGGAGCTCGATGAAGATTTTATATCAGATGACACGGAATGTGACTTGGATAAAGGGTAGTTTGAAATGAAACTCGATAGAGAGTTAGACAATATTTAAGATTTTTTTAAATCCATGTCCATGTCTATTCTAATTGTATGAATTGATTACCAAATAACTGTAATATTTATAATTTTGAGCATTATGTTTTTCTTAAAAAATTGAAGAATATGTATAAAGTTCAAGTAATTGTAGTATTTATGATTTTGAAATTAAAAAAAAAAAAAAAAATTGGAGAATATGTATAAGTTTAAAGAATGCATTATTTTATTTATTTATTAGTTTAGAATATTTAAAATACTATTAAAAATTAGAAAATGCATAATTACATATATGTTTTGTATAGACACGCATATTCTTGTAATGCTTGATACTCGACGAAACGCATTGTCTCACATCACACATTTTAGAACCTTATTTTAAAGTACGGGCACATTCATTTTAAATACATATATTTGCATCTTGAAAACAACTTTAAAAAAATTTAGTGAAGTATACATCAAGAGGGTATTTGGTGGGTACTAAAATTAAATTTTTAGTAGATTGTGGTAGAAGTTTTTGAAATGTATGGTTGAAAAGTTGTGGGACCCATAAAAGATATGGTTACTATTGATTGCTTGACTTTGATTTGGATTAAAATCATATTTTAATCTGGACCAACAAGGGCCAAATCTTTCATACATCCATACAAAAAGATACAAATATTTCATGGATGTAGAGTTTGTTTTTAAAGTACATGCCGTGAGAAAAAAACCCTGAGAAATAATATTTATTGATGTATGCGTCAAGTTATATTCTTAATCTCTGGCATGGTCACCCTTTCTTCCAAGTGTTCATTTCAACTGTAAATATTGTTACACTAATCAACTCGAAATTACAGTGACCATTCTGCACATTGAAGGAAATTTGAAATATTGTCAATTCCCATATGTAACAGATGTCATTAATTACAACATATAACTTTGGAAAAATATTTAGGGGTTATTTTTTGAAATAAACTTGAATGCAGAATTTCCTCAATGTCATTGGCAATCTGCAACTAATAATTCAACTTTCTTGGTGATTCAACCTAAAGTAAATAAGGGATTTAGAGAAAAACATAAGATTAATTGTAGTCTGATTTTATTAGGAAAATTTGATTACATTTGATTAGTTGCTTACCATCTTAGCCCAATGCAATCTGATTTTTCATTTCTGCAACAAAATTTACACACCAATTCTTCCCTATATAAACCAGCTCTCAATGTCTCCTCAGAACCAGTTGGCTTCAAAAACTGTTCTTCCAGTGCCAGTGTTACTAGCCCAGACATGTTGGAAGAGTCTCCTCGCAATGACGTTCAAGAAGAGGCTTTAAGTTCCAAAGAAATCATTGATCATAGCCAATTCAACGAAGGGGTGAATAATCATAAGTCGAACTTGTCAGACTCCGTTACGGCAAGTTTTCCTCCAAGGCTGTCAGGGTCATTGAAGAATCCACATCCACCTCCACCTGTGGATGAGGAAAAGGAGCGTCGGTATGGCTGCAAGTACTGTAACAAGAAGTTCTCAAACAAGCAAGCTTTAGGCGGGCACCAGAATGCGCACACACTTGAACGCACCATTGAAAAAAATATCCAGGAAGGGCAGATGGCTAACTTCGGATACCTGCCTCGTAATAAATTCACTGGTTCTTTGTTCAACAGATCTCAGGAATTTTTCAGCAGGGCTATGATGCGAATGCCTTATTTAGCTCAACAGGGCACCATGCATTATCGAATGATGCCTCGTACACTCCCAGGGATTAACAAAGATTACCCTGGATGGCTGAGGCCTGTGCCTGGAAATGTTACCCAATTTATGGAATGTCCCGGCTCTTCGTGCCTGGAAAATCGCCCTCTAGGCCATTTTTCGACTCCTAGGCCTGTTCCCAACAGGAACTTTCTAGGAGACAGTGGCAATGTGCAGATGAATGGTCTAGAGACCCAGGGTGTTCAAGACCACTCGGGCCTCGATTTAACTCTCAGGCTTTAATTTGATCATTTTGAAGAGAGCCTAGATTTATGTCTCAAGTTTTAATTTGTAACTACTTATTTTAGTTACATCAAAATCTAGGGTTTAGGATTTATGTTACGTTTGATGTCTTGTTTGTCTTAAGTTCATGTCGTTGTAATAACTTCTATATTTCTCAGTTAATCCATAGAATCTTGCTACAAGTACAGAATAATTATACAGATTTTATACAGAATTTTGAAATGGAGGGAATAGATTCAATGATGGGAAGAGAAAAAATACACAAGGACGGACAGGATGCAGGAAATTCAAAATTCTGTGAGTTATTCCTGTACTTAAGGAATAACTGTAATCCATATGCTTAATTTTGCTATTCCTTCATTCCTTTGTAGAAAAATGAATTCACAAGACAATGAATTGCATATCTGACTTGTGGTTAGCTGTGCACTGAATTTACTTTTCTGAAAAATAAAATTAACTTCTAGAGAAGTAGGTTGTTTAGTAAAAGAAAAAGGCAAGTTTGAAAGTTAGACAAAATAAGTAATTTAAAAGCAAGTTTGACTTATTTAATGCATAGGCATGTATGTTCAAATGGGTGTCTAGATATAGACATCGTTTGGATTTAAACTAGGAATAATTGCAGCAGCGATTTCAAACCTTTCATTTAGTAGCAAATTTTACACAAACCTTTCATTTTTGCCACAAACGGTACCAAACATTTCAAAATGTCTGCAGTGAAGTCCAAATGGATGGTTTCTGTTAGTTTGACCGTTAGTTAACCAAATAATTGACTTAGACAATAATGTTAACTGATTTTAAAAGGTTAAAATGGTAATTTACATTTTTAATAATAAAATAATCAAAATCAAATAATTAAAATTAAAAACACATTCCACCTTCTTCTTCTCCACCTATCCCCCACCGCCGCCCCCACCCCAAATCTGCAAATCTGGGTTTAGAACTTCGAAAACGATTCAACAAGCTCAGGAATGGAGTCCCCATAACCGAATGTACGCTCTACTGCAATGGCAGTGGCTCCAAGGAATGCTACAATGCCTGTAGCCCAAAACTTTATCTTGATTGTCCATGCGATCAGAAACCCAAAACTTTTTCCCACCCCCCACACTTACCCCCACCTTCCCTCACCCAACCCTAACCAAATGAACCAAAATTCAACCATATCTATCGTGCCGATGATCGCAATTCACCCACACACAAGCTGCAGCAACCACCACAAGTGCCCCTGCAAATTAGCAGCAAGAAATAGACATTACCAGAAACTTGCTTAGACGTCATACGGAAAATCCATAAACCATTTTCAATCTCTTATCTCTTCTTCTCCTCCTCTTTGGTCAAAATAGTCTCTTGGACAGACCATTTCAGTAGGAAATTCATATTTTTATAAAGGAGCTTCATTTCTGATCGGTTGTTTAGGTCCAAATCTCTAATCTAGCCTACTTAGATCTACATAGTTGGGCAATAAGTTTCTGACGCCATGGATTCGAGGATTCAAAGATGTTGAGTTTGCAGATTTGGGGTGGGGGTGGTATGGGTAGGATGGATGGATGGATGGAGAAGACGAAGGTGGAATGAGTTTTTAGTTTTAATTATTTTATTATGGTTATTTTATTATTTTTAAAAAATGTAAAATTACCATTTTAACATTTTTATTATTGTCAAAGTCAATTATTTAGTCAACTAATGATCAAATTATCAGAAATCATCCATTTGAACTTCATATGCGGACATTTTGAAAGGTGTGGTACCGTGAGTGGCACAAATGAAAGGTTTGGACAAAGTTTGCTACTAAATGAAAGATTTGGTACCACTACTGCAATTATCCCTCTAAACTATAGCCCTTATTTAGTACCCACTATTTCAAAATATATTTTTCTCTCTAATTTTTAACTACACATTTTTTAATAAAATATTATTACAACCAAACTCAATATTTTTCCTTATTTTTTAACCACACATTTTCCAACAAAATATTATTCAAATAATGGGGCTCAAACAGATGCATAATATGTTTGGAATTCAAATAATGATAGTCACATACAGTTTTAATTTAAGAATATTTACATTTTAGAGCATGTTTGAGCACTATTTTTTTTGGAAGTAATGCATTTTGAAATAGTAATTTGATGGAAAATATGTGGTTAAAAAATAAGCAAAAATTTTGATTTTGCGTTTAATATTATCTTATTGAAAAAATGTATGATTGAAAATAAGAGAGAGAAAAATATATTTTGAAAATAATGTAGATAGAACAAGGACTTAATTACTATGCCTGAGTTTCCTTTGGAACTTTATTTCCAATTTGTTTTTTTTTTTTTTCAAAAAAAACCAAGGCTATTTTATCAAAAATAAAGGGAAAAGAATTTTTAATTAATGCCACAACCCGATTTATTAGGGGGACAAAAAATAAAAAAGTTGCTTAAGTTTTCGAGGTGGTTAGCGTTCGGAAATAAATTCAACAAAATAACATAATTTCTATTTCTGGGAAAAAATAATATTTTGCATCATATCAATAATTTTTTCTTCTTTTTCAACCACACATTTCCCATCATATCACTATTCAAAATCAATTCTTCCCCAAAAAATCCCTCCCAAACAAGCACTTAGTACCCACTATTTTCAAAATATATTTTTTTATCTCTAATTTTTAACTACACATTTTTTAATAAAATATTATTACAACCAAACTCAATATTTTTTCTTATTTTTTAACCACACATTCTCCAACAAAATATTATTCAAATAATGGGGCTCAAACAGATGCATAATATGTTTGGAATTCGAATAATGATAGTCACATACAGTTTTAATTTAAGAATATTTACATTTTAGAGCATGTTTGAGCACTATTTTTTTGGAAATAATGCATTTTGAAATAGTAATTTGATGGAAAATATGTGGTTAAAAAATAAGGAAAAATTTTGATTTTGCATTTAATATTATCTTATTGAAAAAATGTATGATTGAAAATAAGAGAAAGAAAAATATATTTTGAAAATAATGTGGATAGAACAAGGACTTAATTATTATGCCTGAGTTTCCTTTGGAATTTTATTTCCAATTTGTTATTTTTTCTTTCAAAACAAGGCTATTTTATTAAAAATAAAGGGAAAAGAATTTTTAATTAATGCCACAACCCGATTTATTAGGGGAAAAAAAAAAGTTGCTTAAGTTTTCGAGGTGGTTAGCGTTCGGAAATAAATTCAACAAAAAAACATAATTTCTATTTCTGGGAAAAATTTATTAGGTGGACAAAAAATTAAATAGTTGCTTAAGTTTTCGAGGTGGTTAGCGTTCGGAATTATATTCAACAAAATAACATAATATCTATTTCTGGGAAAAATATTTTGTAAATATTCTTTTGTTTGTATATCAATTTTCTTAATTTTTGTAACTTATTCCTGTAATCTTTTATGGATTTTCCTTTTTTAAGGAAAATAATAGACATGCATACGTTACTTCCCAAATCTTAAGGTTGACTTGGAATATAACTGATAAAATAATACAATATAAAGTAATTCTTGACCAAATTTCCACCATTTATAAAATTTACATATGTTGAAGTTGACTCTAATCTCAGCAAAAATAATATACATAAAGGTAAATTATTTTGGTTAGCTAACTCGACTGTTATGATATGGTGTGACATGTAACATGCAAAAGACTCTTAACGTCTAAATCACATAATCTCATGACAAAATTTTACCTTTTTCTATAATTATTTGTGTTTAATTTTGTCGTCCAATAATGTACGCGTAGAATAATTTTTATAACTTTTAAACGTTTAATAGTGTCGTTTATCATAAACGTGGTCTTAAGAATTCCTAAACGGACGAAAAAATATCGAATCGGACCGATTCTTTCAAATTTCAAAAATAAATTGTGAAGTCAAAATTATTGGTGCAAAACTCTCTCTCTCTCTCTCTCTCTCTCTCTCTCTCTCTCTCTTTTCATTTTACACATTTTGTATCGAAAGACAACATGGCTAATCATTCCAAATATATATATAATTTGTATGATTTAATTGAGAGAAGATAAAAATTGATAGAGTGAGAATTCAAAACTGGATGAGAATATGTGATTTGATCCAAATCTAATTTAATTTGAATAGTTCTAGATGAAAATGTTCATCCTTGTCTTGGTTCCATTTGAATAAAATTATAAGTTGCCGAAATTTTAAAATTATAAAAATTTGTACGGATAAATAGATACTAACTCTTACAAGATATGTTGTTAATATTAATTTTTGAATTAAACCATTAAGGAATTATAATGTTTCTCAAACAAAAATCGCAGTTTGTGGATCGGATTTTTTTGTTGGTGATATCCGTTGCTACTAATCTTAATCAACAGAAAATGATCGTTGCTATTTTGAAGATCGATGATAGTTATCAACGAATTGTCCGTCGATAAAAGTTTTACTAATCCGTTGATAATTTTTTTTATAATATGTCGTTGGTAAATGTTAAATCATTTTGTATAAATTGATCTTTCCAAACAAAATTGGAGGAAAAACGGAATGGGAAGTGGGTGGGGGTGGAGGTGGAGGTTTTCATTTCCATAAACGTTAAGATTTCCATGACGTAACGTCTCCGACTCTCAAAATTGCATCTTCTAAACCGTCGTTTCCTCTCTCTCCCTCTCTCTCTCTCTTCTCATCTCTCTCACAGGAAATACACACAAAAACCCACAGACATTCGGATTTAATGCACTAAAGTCACATACAAAGTCACATACAACCTGGATAAATACATATACAAGTGTGTGTATATATGATAGATTAAAGGCATAATCACGCCCAGATCACTCGGCTTTTCATTTTGCAATTTCTTTATTTTCTATCTAGATACTATCGTCTCCGTATATTTTTTTTCGGGTTCATTTCCATTTTGCACGGTCAATTCTTGAATTGTTTTCTAACATAATTGGGGGGATTTCTTGAATAAGTTTCACGCCGATGGCTGAAGGGAGAGGAAATGCAAATGAAATTGAACCCAGCTTCAACATCGACGATTTGATGGAATTCTTGCCGGATGATGCTATGGGTGCCACCAATATTGGGTATTTTTGCTTGATTTGATATTGCTTCCAAGTGTATTAACATTGCACGCATACTTTTATTCGAGTAATTCTTCTAGATTAATTTGATCTGAATTATAAATATAAATCTGTACACAATATATATAAGATCATCCATGCATAATTTTCTCTTTAGAAAAATTAGATTCTTCTTAATTTTGGTGCTAATTTCAAGAATAGAATCATTTGTTGCGTTAGTCTCTTGTCTTCTTGATTCGATTGAATTTACAAATTAAATTCATTTATTTCCCGCATAAATATTTTTCATTTTTTGATTATTTCTTCTTGATTTATCTGAAGCAAATTAGTTTAAAACCAGAATTGGGGAAATTTCCCAATTCCGGAAGGTTCATCTTGAGCTATGCTTAACATCGGTCCATCTTGCACAAGGCATTATAGACTTTCACGTGTGAAATTCTTGTTCTTGAGGAATTTTAATTCATTTGATGCTGATTCGGAGTAGTGCATCTTTGCATGCATAAATATTGCGGATGTAATAAATTTATGTGCTTGAATCTTGCATAAGAAATATAATTTTTTTATTATATTCCTAGAGACTCTAAAAACCCTAAGGCGATCGAGTTAGTAAAGGGCAGCTCTTGCCTGGACGTAGATCCTCTTGAACTTCATCAGCTTCGGAATGTGCATTGGATTTCTTTTTAGTTCTCTTTTTTCCTTATGGGCGTTTTCACAAAATTAGGATTTTATGTTGCTTAAGATTTGTACTTATGCTCTGACTTGTCCGGTTTATGTTTAATTTGCATACGCTGTTACAAAAAATTCTTGTCTTTTGTTGATTTTTAATTAGGTGCCTGTATTCTGTAACAAAGTAAATTATAAGTTTTTGCTAATTTTGGGATTCGCGTCTCCCAGTATTGTGGCGAAGTTGGGTAGCTGACTTTTAGCTGCACAACAAATTATCGACTAATTTGCTCTGTCATGTAGGGCTGTGGATTTTTTAAGTGTTCTTTTGGGGATTTGTGCCAACTGTATTTTATATTCTGATTTATTTTGGATCCATTATTATTTCATTTTCCATATACCAGACAGTATGGTTGCTGCAATTGCTGATTGATATTAAACTATTCAGCTATTTCTTTTTTAAGAAGTAGATAATTATGATGCAACAATTGATGTGTCCTTGCCTTGAGTGCTAGAGGATCTTTGCCAAAGCGTAGCTTAGTTCTCTGTTCATCAAACTAAACATACAAACAAAGAGATTTGGCGGGTCTTATTTGTAGATGTCTTTCAAATTGTCAGCATCAAATTCATACTACAACTGTTTGTTAGAATGTTGAAGGTCCATCTTCTCTGAGGAGAAAAGTAGATATCAGGCCGCAGGGTCACACCTCCCTCCAAGATATTTCTGTTGAGGAGAAAAGTGAATATCAAGCATTGGATCGCTCTCCCCCACCACCAACATATGTCCATTTCACTTCTGATAAAAGTGAAATGATATGGCACTCTCAGCACAAAAACAAATTTATATAGTTTATGATGTGAATCTGTTTAAATAAAGTGACGATGGATTACCAAATAAACAACACTTAGAATATTTTGTTAAATTGGACAGTCTTGTGCAGATGAGGTCTTTCTATACAAAATAGCCACTGATTATTAATTTGTTGAGCTTCACAGTCCAATTTTTAGCTGATTTGATCATATTTTTACGTGCCATATGTCGTTGATCTTGAATGACTTAGTCCATGTAAGAATTCTTACATGGTACACATAAGACAATATGAATGTTAAGCGATAAAGAGTTGGTTTCATCCATATAAAGATGTAAATTTTATGTTACAAAGAGGGTCATTTACCAGTGACCACTATAGGAGGTGAAAATATTATTCTTGAGTCTACATAGCTAATGGGGTTTTGAGAAAACTATTCTTCTCACCCAGATGCCCAAGGTCCGGGATCTTGAAATAGTATTTACTCTCTGCTACCTCTATATCTTATCAGCTTATGCTTTCAAATAAGTTTTTGACCTTAGAGTTGGTTATCTTATGTTTGAACCTTTCACAGTCAGCATAATAAGAAAGATAATTTCTCTAGGAAAGAGTGTCAACTTGAAGTTCTAAGGATTTTGGCTCTTAGAATATCAAACAAACCCAGCATCTCTTTAACTCATCATTCTTTCTGTCCTTCATTTAGCCCTTCAAGAATTAGAAGCCTTATATTTAAAGGAAATTATTGTCCATACAGACAAATAATTTCGTAATTATTCTCATAATCGTAAAACAATGAAGTAGTGGTTGATGAAGTTCTCAGTGGCTATGTTTCTTATAATATTTTTCATTTTTACTAATTGGTCTTTTTTTATTCTTAAAAGTTCCTTCTCGCATTTCCAAGATATTACATAGCTCAGGAGAATATATATGCCTTTTTTGGAGTTGCTTCTTGGTCAAAATGGCATGTATAAACACTGTATTCTGTATGCTTTAAATTTCCAACCGAAGTATAGGCAGTTCCTAATAGGTTCAGTATATGTTTATTGATGTTGGTTTGTCTTTCAATGTATTTCTAGGATGCCCTTTCTTCTCTAGGAAAGTTTCATTTTTACCATATAGTTATAGAATTTTAGGAAATCAATGATCTTAGTATCTCATCTAAACACGAAGATCTTGAATTCTGATTTTTTTTGTTTTCTCTTTTCTTTTTGATATTTTGGTTTGTTCTGTGTGAAGGTTTTTCCTAGAAAGGCTGATGGATGGAATATAATGATAAGGACTTAGAACATGTTGTTATCATGTGCAGAATGGAGAAAGAGGGGGTGCTTGGGTCATCATCTGATGTAAATAATCTAAATCAAGAGAATAAGTTGGTGAACTTGGAGAAGTATCAAGTTGCTGCAACCCGGGTACCTCGTTTTCTCTATCAGTTCTCTAATTATTTTGGTGTTTTCAGTCAAAGCATAGCATTGCCCTTGCCGTCTTTCTAATGTATTTATTTAAGGTTTTTTTGGTGTATATGAGAGATAAGTTTTCTTATCATCAATTTGCGTGATTAACTCTTGTGTAAAAGGATACAAGTGAGATTGATCTTTTCCACCTAAGGTCACTGAGGAATGTGTTTTCAGCTAGATAAGACCCAAGTATTAGGGAAATTTTTGAACTATGAATTAGTTTTTTTTAACTATGGAGTAGGTAAAACTATTAAGGATGGTTTTACAGGATAATAAACACACCCATATATTTCAGAAGATAGGGTAGTATTTTGGATGGGGAGAGATATCTGCTCCCTTTGCTCATACAAAGTACTTACAGGCATTTCCGGTTTTTCAAACTATGATGCAATCTGTCTTAATAAGGATTCATGTAGGCAACCCCAAATTTATTGGAAGAATCCTTAGTTTGTAGTTTTTGTCCTAATGATAACTCTGATGAAGTACGACTTCAGAAGCTGGAAAGGAAAGAGCTCTGAACTTTAGAATGTCTACACTTCATGTGATAAGAAATCTTCTAAAATTTTCCATGTTGCTGTTTGTCACGTCAGATTATCTATTTTCCAGAATTGTGCACAAAATATCTAGGACACTGTCATTTGGTAAAAGTGTCTTAAATTTCTAGACAAGTGCAGAGACGTTCATAAAATATTAAGCTACTATTAAGATTCTCCAAAGATATTTTACATAACTTTGACATTATGAAATACATACAGGGTAAATGATGTTTCAATAAAGAGAATATATTATATCTTCAAAATGATGTGAGAGAATGACATATTCGTCACTTTTTTAGTGAACAGTATTTGGGGATTAATGAATGAAAGGAACTTCATTACAAAGGGGATAATACATGAGGAATACAGTTTTTGCCTTTTGATGTAATTTGATAGAAGACATGGTAAAAGAAAATTTTGCATATGAAATTATGTACTTCATTAAGCTCCTGCGGAAATTTATATTTTCTTTCTTAATTGAAGTCGAGGTAATATTTCATGTGTTACATTATTATAGATGAGAGTGATATCTGAATCACAAAACTTCTGTTTGAATAATTCTTTTACGACCATGAAATGCCAAACTTGTGATCCTTTGTGTGATGAAGTAACATTTAGCTGTATTAACAAACTTTTTGTAGACTTATTTTCTTATCAAGAAAATATTGTCAGAATTTTCTCTACACCGTATTTGGTCATTGGCTATGTTTTTCATTTCAATTTGAATAATGATTGGAGTACCATGCATCACTGAACTTTGTACGTGGCATAGGAAGGCAAAATTCTCCATTTATAACTACTTCATTTTTATGTTTTTAATTACCACAACATTTCAACATACTTAGCATTGTTCATAACTTAGTTTACATTTCCATTTGGCAGTCAGATATTGTGCCCCCCATTAGCCAGAACTGGAAGCCTATGGACACTGCTTCAGGTAACACTAAATGCTATGGCCAATGAAGATAAATAATAAAGTGTTTCTTATGGAGATAATCATAATCCTGCATATTGTGATCTTCACTTTTGGTCCCAGTCTTGCAAGGGATTTAATTTATACTATAGGCACGGAATGAAATTTTACTTCCTCCAATAATTCGCTCAGAACAAAACACTACTGTTTAGCTTCTACTGGTGATGAGTTTTTTATGTATGAATTGATGAAGAGACTAATTTTTATGTTTTTTATTTTAAAGTTCCTGTGCCGCCATCCTAAAATACTAAATGCTGCACTGGTATAGATGCTAAAATTTCTCTCAGAGTATTCAACATACTGTAAAGAGCAGTAATAGATTTGAGTCCATTAAGAATGCACTTCTGTTTAACTTCTGTGGTGTCAATGAAAGAAAGATAGAGATATAAATGTGAAGGGGAACATTTCAATCAACAAGAACAAACGGATTTTTACTCAAGAAACTTTGTAGCCAATTGTACAAACATGAAAGAGAATATCATTAAGAAACTGATGTGAGCATGTTACAAATACATTTCTGCTTAACTTTCAATCGTGGTACAGTTTATCGAAGTAATTAGAATACATTTGATCTACAAAAATAATCTTTGGTTCGTAATAGCGATTCCAACAGGGTATTAACTTTCATTCAATATGACGAGCTAATCTTCTTGTATTCATATTCCTTTTTTTCTTTAAGTTTCTCCAGGTCACAATTTGGTTTCTCGCTTCATTAGTGCAGTCATGAACCAGGAGATTTTAGAGAAGAACCTGGTTCCGCCATAATGCCATGTGATTGTTTGCTCAAATCATATGATGGATAGAATTTCTTCTTGATACAAAGGATAGACCTTCATGCGAAACAGTTTGGAAAATGCATAATATATTTTGCAATATATCGTTTATATTGTGAATTTCAATGAAAACAAAACGAAGTTCTATTATTTAACAGCCTTGTTCTTCAGCTAAAGAATCATTTTTTAGTTTCACATCTTATTATAGTCTCTCTTTTTTCGTTTTCTTTTTCACCTTTACATTTACAGTTGAAACACCTGAGAATTGTTGCTGCACTGAGATAAGTTGCATAGTTAAATTAAACCTTGAAATAAATTTAACTTTAATTGCCTTTATTTACAGATAAATCGATTAATTCACAAGCACATATTCTGCAACGAAGTACTTCTCCCAGCATATATACAGAATTTTCTCAGAGTCAGACTTCTTGTAATATTATCTCACAATCACACCAGCACCAGCAGCTGCAGAACCAATTCCATAATCAGACTGCACAGACACCAAATATTCAGCCGTTGTCAGCACAATTCAATATCTATCAACAGCAGCAGCCTTTACAGGTACCTCTTCTTCCGCATCATCAGTGGGGTCAGAATTGGGTCATTCTATGTCTGACTGGGACAAATGATTCTCATGTCTCTCCTGAGTCCAGTTTGACTTAGAATCTAACACAGTTAGAATCTAACACAGTTACTTAATTTATCATTTCTCCAGCAGAAACAGAATACTGCTTTTGTTTTGCAGAAACAACAGCAAAAGATTGGATATCATTTAGATTCTTCAACAATGAAGCATCACGAACAATTCAATGTCCTTAAGCACCATGGTCAAATGACATCAGAGAAAAGTTTGCAGCAGATACCTACACCTATGCAGATGTGGCACTCATTGGAAACACCGAGTGATACAGGGACTAATGGTGTACAACCAAAGTTACTGACATCTGCTTTCCCTCATTCTCAGAATCCTATGCTAGTTGATCAACAGAAGCCAGTAGAACAACTACAAACTGCATTTCTTGGGCTTTTGCAAGGTACATTGAAAACTTCTAGATGAAGTGCACATTACATTAACAATCAAAAAAGAATAGCTACAAAGATTCAATTTGTTTTCCTTTGTTTTTGTTTTTGTTTCGTCCTTTCCAAACACACTGTTGGGAGGGCTTGTTGTTAATTCAAATCTTATCAATGGTTATCCATGACAATTAATGTGGGTTGCATGTGAATTTATTATCTCCTAAAGAAATTTGAATCATAAGTAGGAAATTACGAAAATTTATTTTTCACTCGCAAATAAATTATAATGATCAGTCTCATAATTTTGAAAATCCACTGGATTCTTTGGACATATGTTACTTGTCAACTCTAATTAGAATAAATTAGTTGAATTTGGTCATGAGCACAATTACATAACAACTGAACTTCTGTTTGGATTTGTGTTTTTAATATTTCCCTATCTAGTTCCTTTCTTTTAACATTTTTTTTGGCTGTTAATATTTAATGATGTACGAATAAAACATGCACTTCATTGATTTTTCTTTAGAATGGATCTATCTAATGTTTGCAATATTCTCTTTTTAAAACAGAATTAGAGTCCTCTTCCCAATTCATGTTGAAAAATTCCCCTGATTGGGTTGATCCAGTCTTCAAGCGGGTAACTTTCTAACCATTGAAATCAACTTTCTATAAAGAACGTCCATCTTTTCAACTTCTTCACTATCTGATGCATCTCTGTAGGCTTGTAATTATGTGGATTGTCATGTCGATCTTTTTTCGTTTAGTATTTTATGTGAATAGTCATCCTCTCTCCTCCTGAGAATGGAAGAATTTAGAACGTAATTTAGTCCTATATAATAATCACTAGTTTTTGTAACAACGCAAGGAGTAAATTTTACCACTCGATGTAGAGAAGGAAAAAGTTTGTGTTCTGAAACATATCTTGATAGAATTGAAAAGTGTGGCAATGTGACTGAGCTGTTTTAGCCCTTCACTTTAGATTGTTGTGAATCAAAATACACAATCTTCATACGGTTACATATAGAAAGAAGCTAAGAATTGGATGTCATTTACAGCAGAAAACAGTGAAAGTGAGCTACGAATTTTCTATTTGTTTCTGTTGATTTGAATATCAGTTATACTTGAATCAAACACATAAAAATTCAATTTTTCTCAATGTTCTTTTCACTTTCTATTTTTTCTTTTCATTTTCCCCATTCAAACTGCAAGTGATCAGCCAGAATGGCCAGATAATATGTGATCCTTTTCATGGAAGCTCATATTAGAATTTCCTGTTGGTCTCTTCCAACACATTTCTAATCAGTATATAAAGCTTTCTTTCTCTATTTTCTGTTCAAAGTTTTTGAGCATTTTTCCCTCTCTCACCCTATCGAGCATTGACTGTCTTTCTCTATCTTCCACCTTTCCAAATCCATCATCATTTTGTTTGCAAGGTTTTTAATTAATTGCATTCTCTTTCCTGTAAATGGTCTTTAATAATTTGAAAAATCATAGATTACTTTATTCAAATCTTCACACCACCAATTGCATTTTTTTTTTAGGATGCATGGTTTGAACTTGTACTTGGTCGTGTTCACTAATTGTATAAATATCTGTAACACTTTCTGCAGATTCAGTTGATGAATAGTATGTATTTTTCTGAGGTGTTTACACTGTACCAGAGAGCATCAGAATCATTTCGTCAGGTATCAGCTTTATAGATTCTTATATTTCTGGACACCTCATTTATAATTTTAATTGATTCATCCTCAACTAATTTGGTTTTTTTCTGAACCTTTTCATAATGGTGGTTGCTGCTGATATTAGATTGTTGAATCTCTGATGCAGGCAACCAGTGCAGAGTCAGCAACAAGATCTGAAAAGATTCAATTTTTATATCTGAAGATAATAAAATTTTTACAGATGCCAAAAACTGAACTTATGCAACATCGCAAAGAGATCGTTTACCAATTCATAAAAGAAATTGTCTTGTACCTCAAACGGATTAGGATCAAGAATCCGCTTCCTCTGCAGCACCATCATCTAAAGGCATCTGGCAATCCTTCAAGAACCCCATCTCTGTTGCAAAAAGGGAACATTTTACAGTTCAATCAAGTGAACCCATTACATAATAATGTACCTACGAGTGTACCTCAGTTGCTCATGCAGCAGAGTAACTTGAACTTACAAGGAAGCTCTACGAACCAGTTTCAGGTTGGCTCTTCAACAGGGATGCAAAAGTCAGATCCTTCGTCATTAATGAACTCTTTTCAACATAATCCGATGAAATGTAGGCAACAGTATTCACCTAGTCAGGCACATCAAGGAATGTCATTACCTCATAAGGGTTCTCAAATTGGCTTTGAGCATAGAGCTTCGGGTCTGTTGCCCCCTTCTTCTGTTGGAATTTCTCAGCACAATACTACTTTGAGCACTCAACAGATGGGAAACTCGTCACCTGGGAACAGCTTCAATAATTTAGATTTTACCATGAGGCCCCTTTCTCAAAATCCGATAGTCACTGTATCTCCGTATAACAGGCAACAGGACCAACATCTAACAATGCAGAAGAAGCTGAAGCAACCTATGCAACAGATGCTGACTGAGAGGAACAAGCAGCAGATGGTACAGAAAATGAATGAGGATGCTAAGATGGCTCAGTTTGCAGAATTCAATCAAAGAATGCTAGTGAAGCATCACTCATTGGGCCAACATTTAGAACAGTATCCTTGGGCAACACATCAGCTGAGTTCTACCTCTTACCGGGTTGCCTCTCCTCAAAGCTCTCAATACTCCTCTACGCAGATTGAGATGAAGGATTTGTCATCAAAACTTTCCAGATCTACAACACCATTTCTATCCACTGCCTCTCCGTCTGCTGTTCCTTCTCCTCTTACTCCAGTAACTCCATCTTCTGTACCAACGGATCAAGAGAAGATTCCTATATGCTCTAGTACATTATCCGTTGAAGAGAGGAACAAAGTTACCAAGGCACCTATTGAACCATCCTTGCTCCAATCACGAGGCATAAGCAAAAATCAAGTCTCTGTCTCTGTTACACAGGAGTTTCCGATGTCTCCTTTGCTCACAGAGTCTGCATGCCCAGTTGACCATCAACAGTCACATGCTAAAGCCGATCCAGTGCAGCGGTTGGTTGAAGTGGTTTGTTGAATATTCTTCCCTTAAAGTTCTCTCTGAACACTTTAACTTCCATTAATGTCTGTGTGTGCAAATGTGGATGTATTGATATGCTTATTATCACTCGTGTTAGTTATTTTTGTCATTATGCAATTTACACTTATGATATCTCCAGAATAGGGAGAAAATAAAGGTTGGTCATAATGTATTTAACTGCCGTGGTTTAGGATTCTAGAGTACCAATTCGGTTTTGTGTAGAATAACTAGAAAGGTCAGAAAAGAGAAAAAGGACAAACATGATGCAGAGAGAGGACAGGACAACTAGATTGTAATGTGTCTAAACAACAGAAAAAGTCAAATGATTATAATCCAGCTTACATAAATCATTTACTTCTAGGAACTTTGAGGAGATTTTGATTCATGTCCTACATAGATGTTATATAGCTACCATTATCGTGATGTGTCAAGCCGTTTGATGCTAAAAATGTTCAATGTAAAATTATAATCGTGTAAGATTTATGTGATCACTATGGTTTTTTGACTGTATGTGTTGTTAGACTTTTGTGTATTTCACATGACATTTGATTCACTTTCATGTTGAAGGTCAATACAATGTCACAAAAAGCGTTACATGCTGCTGTAAGGGATATCAACGCAGTCACCTGTATAATCGACAGGAAATCTGGAAGCCTTCTTCAAGGTGGATCGAGGTGGGTCATTGGCCAGGACTTGGCAGATGATACTAGATCTTGGGAACAAGGGAACTTTGACCTTTCATGCATGAAGACAAGGATGAAGCGGCGACTGAGGGACATAGCTGCGGATGATATGACATCAGCTTTTACAAGATGTGCTAATTTTGAAGGTGGCCAGATATCTGAAGTGGAATTTAATGCAACATCTAGGATAAAGAAACTGAAAAAAGAGGTATTTTGCGAAAATTCAGGAATGTTTCTCCTCTCACACACTCAAGAGAAGAAATTCTATCATTTCTGCTCTTCATTAGATGCCCATCACCTTTTGGTTTCTTCTCATCCATCTTTTATTGCATTTATACAGTCTAATGATATGCTACTGGAAGAAATCAGAGAAATCAACCACAAGCTTATTGAAACAGTGGTAGATGTGGTAAACGTGAAAGATGTTTCCTGGGAGGTACCTGCTGAGGGAACCATCATTAGGTGCTTATATAATGCTGTTCAATGCAATGGGAATATTAATATGCTGAATGCTTCAACACAAATGGTAACACACTCTTTATGGAAATCTTACTATAGAACTCATAACCCAAAATGTGCTCACTGGTATGCTCTTTCTGGCTTGTAGTTTTCCAACCTGATTGTGGAATTGCTTGTGACTGCTGATTATCCTAATTCTTCTCCTGTAGTACTGGAAAGATTGCCCCCCAGTTGTAGGTGAGAAATCAAATTACATATTTCTATTTCATTATTTAGTTTGAGTTAATAATTCACAAATGCAATGTATGTAATATAAATGACTATGAAAATTGATATGGTGCGTGTCGAATCTGCAGTGAAGCTGAAGAAGTGAAAGTTCTGTGGACAAAAGTGAAGTCAGATTTCAGTTTATTGCTGCGGAAATGTTCACAGCCCATTTCACTAAAAGAAATGGCCAAAACTTGGGATGTTTGTGCTCGCGAAGTATTTCGCGAGTTTGTACAGAAATTTGGAGGAGGTGACTTTAGTTCAACATATGGCAAATGGGAGAATTGCGTAGTTGCTACGTAATGCTCATGCATTTCCCATCCCTGCAGAAGACTATAGCCTCCGGTGGAAGGTATGTAGAATTTGTACATATCGTTACCGTGCTGTATCCATCCATATATAGTTTTTGGCATTTGAGTCGACCCTGGTTTGAACTTTTTGACTCTGGACTTGTTACACACCCAGCCGGGGTTAAAAAGTAAAAACATTGAAAATCAAGGCAGTTGGAGTTTGATTTCTCTTTGTTTTCGTTAGTGTTATGAAGTAACCAGACCCAATAAATAACCCTCTTTTTTCTTTCTATCAGGCAGTTTGCTAACATTCGCAATTCAGAGCATCAGTGGCTGCTGCTGGTCAAAATGGGAGCGAATAATCGAATTAACTTTTCTTATAAGGAGTCTTGAGAAAAGATTAGTTGCCGACTCCTAATTTGTTGAAATACGCATAGTTTGCTGTTGTACATAAGCTTAATGATTTTTGTTTGAGGGATAAGTAGACTTAACTTTTCCTTCTTAAGCTAGCTTATTGATGATGAAATTAGGGATCAAGACTTGTGCATTAGGGGTCTTTGATATAATGGGTTTCTTTTGGAGAAATTTTCATAAAATCATTTTTCGTCAAAATCATTTTCTAATACAGATTCATTATTGATTATATCGGACCCCCATAACTTTTTTGTATTTTTTAAACAAGCATTCTCCAAATGATGTTATAATAAACAATAAAGTTAGTTGTACAAACATGGTTGACAACCTTAGTTGACAATCATGTATTGTCAAAATTCGAGTCTTCGATGTAAGAAATAGTTTTTAAAATAAATGAACCTAATGTCATTTCTCCAAAATCATAATTAAAAATAATGTGTAAATAATTAATTTGGCGGATAGCAAGTTGAACTACAAAAATTAGACAGCACGTCTAACTCAAATCATAAGAGCAAAACAACAGCCAGGAAAGTGAATCCATTGTTCCTACCCAACTTGACCAATGCAAATAGCAGTTCAACTTAATTTTTGCACATATGAGCGCGCTTAGAAATAATGGTAAAGCCTTAGCCACTCAAAAGTCCAAAGAAGAATTACTAGGGTTTGGATGGTGTCGTCGTCGACATTTCTCCGGCAAGAGGCGGTTAGGAATTTTACAAGAATTAGGACGAAGAGAAATGCTAAATGACACTTCCATGTACACTCCCCTTGCGAGGTGGCGTGTACAACCCCCGTGTGCATGTAGCATGCCTATAGGACGAAATGCGAACTGAACAGAGAAAAACCCTGAAATGAAAATGAAAAGATCTGCTCGTACGATACAACGAGGAATTGAGTGCAGTTTGTAGATTTAGTTTGGGAAGGAAATTACATAAGGGTGGGCAGTTGTGGAACTTTAATTTTTGAATTCAGTTATTGTAATTCTAAGTGCTTATTTGGATACAATTATAAGTTTTTGAAATTATAATACGATTTAACTTTGATCATTAAATTATGATAAAATAATAATATTTCTGAAACATCCACTTAACGATAGAAATAAAATGAAGTCAACCTGAGTCGTCTGTTAAAACGTAAAAAGACATGCAATGATGCAATCCATTAATTAGACGGCAAAAGGAGCTCTATATAACTTGGTGTTATAACGTAGCATAGAAAGTTTAATAGATGCCCGCTAAATATCAAGAAAAAAAAATTAGTCGATACGAGTCATTTTCATATTTTCAAATGCTCCTCTATATACTAGATAGAGGTTAAATGCGTGAATGGTACACGAACTTTATCTCCTGTATTAAAATCATACACGAACCCAGCTCTGTATTAAAATTATAAATGAAGTCAAAAATTTGTATTTCATCCATACATGGATTATTTTCCATCAATCAAATCTAACATAATAAATAACGTGGCAAGCAAATTGGACTATTACAACATGAGCTCGAAAATAATACGACAACCAAAAATATGATCAAAGTTTCTCGTATTGGAGCAGTGCTTCTGTCTATTAAAGAAGCCAAAATGTGGCTTCCACCGGCCACGAGAAGCCACATCCATTACCATGCACCAATCAAATCCACCTCAGAACATAAAAAACACAGAACATTATTGAATAATCCATCGACAGAATCCAACCTAGAAGCATAACATTTGTTTTGCTTTTAGGCGCTGTTTGATATGGCATTATTTTTCATGGAAAATGAAAAATAAATTTCAACTTTCACTTTTACCTTGTTTGATACACTTTATTTTCCATGAAAAAAATTTTCCACATTTGTCTCACATGCTCACCAATTGCTTCGTTTTGTGGAAAATCAATTCCCACCATTCCCACCATTTTGGTGGGAATTGATTTTCCATCCTTTTTTTTTAAGCAATTGGAAAAATTTTTAGATACAATGTTAAAAAGATTTATCACTTTTATTGACAATTTTCATACAAAACAAAGTCAAACGAATGGTATTCAGTATGATAATTCTTTTTTTAAAAATTTTTAAATTTTTTTTTTTTTTGGGAAAAGTGAAACAAATTCTAAACCCAATGGTTAAGAAAATTATCACTTTAATGGACAATTTTCATGAAAAAAAAAAGTCAAGCTAACGCCAAACTTTCAACATTTTTTAGGTGAAAAATTATATCAATCAAATAGAATTAATTACAATTCTCAATAAAATAATTTATAGACAATTCAATTTCTTAAAATTCATTTTCTTTTAACTCAATTTTCACATTTGCAATGAAACAGAGGACCCTTAGTGGTAAAGTGTCCAGATAACTTAGCACTAGAATCTATGCAGAAACTGAAATGCCTCGACTCTTCCACAACAATCAATACAGCAAATGTCACAGGCTAGAACAAGTACAGACCATTCAATGTTTAGTAGATTTTAACTTCAATTAATACTATACCTTACTGCTGTATTGGTGCACGTTGCCAAAGAAGACCTAATGGCTTAGCCCCATTTGATGGTCATTATTTTAAGAGAACGGAGTGATTTATTGGAGAATGCGTAAAAAATAATATCATATTTACATGCAAAATATTTATTGTATAAATATGTGATTAAAATTAAAAAATTTTGAAATGATGATGATCAAAGAGGATAAAACTAAAGTACAGAATTTTCGAGCACCTTTACAACTCGCAAGAACTCTATCAAATAATCGATTCACCAAAACAACCACGATTCAAGTTTTTAAACACGAAAACAACTGCGATTCAAGTTTTTAAACACACATAAACATCATTAGAGATAAGCACAAGAGAATAAACTAAACTCTATGTAAATTAGCTTTCACAAATTCAACACTAAGGATATATTTGAGTCACATTATTTTGAAAGAATGTATTTTTGAATAATAGATTGATGGATAATGTGTGATTGAAAAGGAATGAAAAATTCTTAATGTGATTTAGAATATTATTTTATTAAAAAATACGTGATTAAAAATAAATAGAAAAATGAAAATGAAAATGAAAATTTTAATATGATTCAAACATAAGGTAAATCTTAGTAAAATATCTTCAACAAGACGAGCAAGAGCTATTTTCAATGACTATGGAAATTTTACCCTGGCCCTTTGTTCCCCTCCTTTTAAAGTCCTGTGTGGGAGGGATTCTCAAAATTCTACAGTAAATCAATTCTCATTTTCAACCACACCTTCTTCAATAAAATAATATTTTCCATCACATCAATAATTTATTTTTCTTTTTCAATCACATTTCACATCATATCACTATTCAAAATCAATTATTCTCCAAAAATCCCTCACAAACAAGCCCTAAATATTGAATACGTTAATCAAGAAAATAATCCATAATATTGTTTGAGCTCAACAAAAATCCAACCCCATACGTGCAAAATCATTAACAAGAATCGACATATAATGGCAAAATAACATAAGAACTTATGGAATTAGGCTTTTCATTTAATTTTTTTTTTTTTTAACAGAGGAACTCACCCTAATTGCCAAAATACAACAAACAAAACCTCATGGCATAATCCATCAATCGTCCATGAGATCCATTCAAAAAGTCCACTGAACCATTCTGTTTAAACCAGAAACAAGAAAGCGTTGTGATGGATCAATCTAAAGACACTAATACCCAATTTACCCAGCGGCATTCAAGACCCTGCCAATCTCAAAAGAGACGTAAGCATCAACACAAGCATACTGCACTTGATCAAGCGTCAGCCATCTGTAATCCCACCTACTCATAGTTACTCTTCTGGGCTTCTCAAACTCTATATCTAGCACAAAACTGGCCAAATTCTTCAGCCCCGTATTCTGCAATGCTCTCATCTGATATGTATGTGCCGCGAGCTCCCTTAAATCCACGGCATTCGCATTGAACCCAAATCCATAGTCCCTTTCAAGTTTGTCCAAGTCGGATTCAATTCCAACGCCCACAAAAGTGTAGTCCTGTTCTGAGAGGAACTCAACGAGAGGGTCGGGAATATAAGAGGAGTGGATGAGTTGGTAGACCAGACAGCGGCGATCGATGCAGAGCTGGAGAGTGGCAACTGGGTTCTGAATGCGGCTGAAGCTGGGTCGCCACTCTACGTCGAGACCAACGATTAGGTGGCGGCGGTGGTTGTTGAGGGACTCAACCTCGGATAACCACTGTGAAACCATGCCGGGATCGTGAGTTACGAGGGTGTGGATTATGTCTCCGAAGAAGTCGACGTCGTACACGTTGTGGGTGTCGTATGGTAATCGGTAGTCTTCAATGGTGATAGCCATTGCTCCGCCTCTGTTCCTGTGGAGATGCTTATATTAAGGCACCGTTTGGTAATCATTCTTTTTTTCATTCTCATTCTTCTACTAATTTTCAACCACACATTCATCAATAAAATAATATTTTCCATCACATCAATACCTTTTCCTTCATTTTCAACCACAAAAAAGGTGTGATTTGACACAAAGAATACATTTT